GAGAGACCCTTAAAGGGACCCCTTGGGGTTCTTTAGGGCTTTATGAGACTATTGTCCCTTAAGAAGAGCTTCCGAGATCCACAGCCTTTGTCGTCTTGCTCGACTTGTCGTGCGGAACCCCCGGCTATGGCTCAAGCCTAGCATGATCGGATCTAACGAAGCAATCGTGGCCACCGACAAGAGCATGACGTTCCGCAGTAAGAGGAGCGCGTGGCTGCTTTCGATGCTTTGCATCTTTAGCAAGGTCGGTTGGTCCTACAAGCTTTCGAGCGAACAACTCAACAAGACGGTTCTCGACGGAGTGAATGCGTCAGATCTTCTCGAGAATGTGAGCGAGTTTGTTGGCGACACCTTGGTCGCTGACATGGAGGAGCTCGACTCCTTGCCCGACAAGAAGGAGAAAGGCCCCGAAAAAGGTGAGAAGGGTGGGCGCGGCATGGGCGAGCTGGGCCGAACAATGGAGTTCTTGATGCTGAAGGTCGCCCAGCTTGAGACCCTCGCAGAGCTGCAGCATCAGCGGATTGAGAAGCTGGAAAAGAAGATTGACCCAGATGGAGAGGGGGTCTCAATGGCACAGAAGAGCTCCGAGGAAAGCGCGCAGACAGCCCATGACGTCCTGAAGAGGGTGGTCGAGAAGCACGCCCACCAGCGAGAGCACAGGGAGTACCACCCGGCCCAGATGCCGAATCCCAAGGGCACAGCGGAGGCTGAGGAGGTGGAGGAAGGCCCGGGGGAGGAAGGGCTGGCTGAGAGCCCTGGGCAGCGCAGGGCCCTTCTTCAAAGCGCGAAAAGACAGCGCGATTCCCCAGCCTCCCCAGCTTCCGTATGCCGGACATTCGGGGCTTGGTTGAGGCTGCGGTCGCCAACCTTTTGGGCGCAGGCGGCGGCTTTGGCGCTGATTGCCCCGACCCCAGTCCGGACATTGGAGTTGATGGTGCCGAGCTCTTCGTCGACTTTGGGCACTGGAAGTGCGCGGCCACCATCATGAATCATGAAATTGAGCTGTACGACTTCGACCTGGGCAGGAAAGACGTCAATGTGCGTGAGATCGTGAGGCACGTCCCACCGCTGGATGCCGTGGTCACCCTCGGTGAAGAGCTCGTGAACTGCGAGGGTGGCTCAGGGGCCTTAGACTTCATCAAGTGCTTGGGCTTCCGGATCCTCGAATTAGTGCCCCCGCTGAACTTCCTGTCACGCCTGGGCGAGATCTTTGGCGACTTCATCGGGACCTTCGCCGAGATTGCCAAAACGGTCGTGAGGAATGCCTTGGACAAGGGCCTGGGCATGGTGCAGACGGCCGCCACGTCTGCGTTCCCAGAGATCGGCGCACAGCCCGCGGTGCACTACGCCGGCAAGAACCTCGTCATCAAGACGCATTCCCAGTCGGCACACCAGGGCACTGACCAGGAGCCGAAGCGGATGTCCACGCTGCAGACGGGCGGCAACGCGTCGCGGATGTCGCGGGCAGGTGGTGATGACGATGACAGTGTGGGAGCGATCACTTTTGAGATTGGGCCTTATGGGCCCGAGACCACGGGGCTAATTACGCAGTTCGCGGGCAAGGAGACGCACACCGGCTCCTGCTTGGCCTTCGCGCCACGGACGAAGACCGGCAACGGCAACCAGGCGACGAAGCAAGACTGGCAGGTGGACAACAACGACAAGTTCCTGCAGCTGGAGCCGTGGGCTGTTCCCTGTGACAACGCCTGGATGCAGCAGAATTGGGACAAGTGGCAAGGCACACTTTCTACACCACGAGGTCGAACATCGAGAAGTGCGTGACGGTCACCTTCGAATTGGGCTTGCAGCCCGTAGCGGCCTTCGTGGGCGGCTTACAGTTCGACGTGCTCCCCACACCCTTTTTCGAGGTTGACATCCAAATTTGCTGGCCGAAGGGGCACCCGGGTGGCGTGGACCTCAGCGCTCTCCACTTTGAGTTCCGTTCGGTCGGCATCCTACTCCTCAGCCGCACTTTGCGCTTGACGAAGCGCTTCGGTGACAACACGGACTTCCTCCCCAATAACCTCAACCACGGGAAGGCCACCATCCGAAGCCAGCTTGGCCTGCCGCGCCCGCCGGGATCAGACTCGGAGAGCACGTCGGCCATCAAGTCTATGAGCCGCATCAAGTCTATGAGCAGCTCTGAGATGCTCCAGACCAACAGCAGCCATGACGACAAGGCCGAAGAAGAGGTCGCGATGCAGTGGGCCGACGCGGAGGAGCTCTACTTGGCATCCGTGGAGTATGGACCGGTCCGTGAACACGACCTCCGAATTGCGTGGCCCGGCCGCGCACCGCCTCCTAAGCGCCATGCAGACGCAAAAATCCAAGGAGTCGCACCAGCTCTTCCAGTTCAAGAGCGGGGGCATGGTCTCTTTCGATGTGCCAGGGACTGGGGGGCTCCCTCTTGAAGATGCGCTACCAGGGACCGGACACTAACAATTCCAAGATCACAGTCCCCGAACAAGCTCTCCAACACGTGCTTGAGTCAAACTGCCTTCCGCTCCATACATCTCACTCGGACGCGCTGGCGCTCACATACTGTCCGGAACTCAAAGTCAATGGCGTTGATCTGGGCAGCATGGCCAAGGCATGCAACAGTGCCGATACCGGGAAGGTGCAGAAAGCGCTCGCCAACAAGATGTTTACCACCCTGGTGCATCTATGACTTCGACCAACCGGAGAAGGTGTCGTACCGCTGGCATCCGGCAGGCAGCTGTTGGGCAGCCTCGCCCGCGTGCAATGGCAATCGGTACTCGAAAATACAGGCGGACGCTGTCGCCCGCAAGCACAAGATCTGCGTTGCGTGAGGAAGGTGAATGCAACTGATACTGCTGCGGCGCCACAGATGAAGGCTGAGACAGTAACCCGCGTAGCATAGCTGCAGTCACAAGTCACAAGGAACCGTGGCCACTTCAAAAACCTCTGATGTTAGGCTGTCTCTCAAGGCCTAAACCTCTCCCTTGGACAGTCGTGGTCACGGTCTCCTGGCGATAGTATCACACCGACCCAGACCTACTGAACCTCGCCTGGCATGTTCGAGTTGTGAGGGCCTAGAAACCGTGTTGATGGATCGAGAGACCTCGTCTGGCGGAGCGTAAGCCCTCATCCATTCTACCACTGTTGATGATCTAAATCCTGCATTTCCCATGATAAGGAATATACCATAATTCCCACAGTTTAGGGTCCTTAAGGTAATGCAGGATTTATAATCATCAACAGTATCTCACCCCACGATGTGGGGTACAGTCCGAGCCCTTCGAGACAAAACAAAACCGACTACGAGGTCGAGCAACCCCTCGCGTTCAGACGTAAAGGCCATCTCCACCTTGCCCCTTTGGCCGCAAGAGCACCTCGTGCGGAGGTTTAGGGTTTAGTTTAGGGCTTCTTCAGGGCTTTGGGATTTAGTGTTCCGGGTCTGTGCACTCCTTTGCTCGATTTTCCTTCTGAGTGCCACCGCACTGGTACAGCTTAGGCTTGCAGTTGCTGCCATGCCTTCAGACTCGCCTGTCACGTGTGACGTGTCGGTGGAGGCTTGGTGGCATCAAGGATGGTGGGAAGTTGGTTGTATCATTTTCCGAAGTGGGCCTGCGTAACAGCGGCATCTTGCGTGACTCCCGAGGAGATGTGCGATCCGAACAACGTGAAAGTCGCCCAAACGATCCTGAAGCAAGCACGCGGAATTGTGCCTTGGCTCCGGGTTTCAAGCTGGAAGAGCTTGGCTGTGCCCTCTTTTGCTCAGGTTGCGAGGCAGCTTGTCAGAAGGATGCTGGCTACACATCCGCATTTGGATTTCGGTGATGCGAAGCGTGTTGCCGAATCATGACGTCCTAGTTGCTGCGAGCAGTGCCGACAACACTCGGGCGAAGCCGCTCTTGTCTCTTGTCAGGTTTTGCGGTCGCTGGTACCTTCCGTGGGGTATGTGCAACTCGGTTGTGTAGTTCTGGCACGGGCCAGCAGGTGGGTCGGGACGGGTAAAGAGGCATTGAAATTCACACGAGATGAACGCGAGTGGGACATGTAGCATGCGGTTGAAGCACTGCGGCAATGTGCGGGTCTGGGCTGTGCGCCGTCAATCCTTTGCTGTACTGCACCTGGCCCGCGCCACATGCACATAGACAATCATTTACACATACATGTACACTTAAACGTGCACACACACACACACATGCACAGACACATAATAGTGTACGTACCTGCAAGTACACATACACATACAAGCACATCTACATGTGCGTAATATACACACATGTAGGCATACACATACCCCACACACACACATACACATCTACTTGCACACACGTGCACGCACACACACACGCACGCAGAGACACGTACGTACGTACGTACGTACGTACATACATACAAACGTACATTCATGCATTCATTCATTCGTTCATTCATTCATTCATTCATTCATTCATTCATGCATGCATTCATTCATTCATTCATTCATTCAGTCTTTCATCCACACACACGCACACACATTGCACACACAGACACATTACACTGATCATTACACATGCGCGGAGACATTTCGCCCATTGCGCTACATTGCATTCGCACATGCGCAGACAGACATATACACATAGAAAGGCAGACATGCATACATAGCTACATGCTTAGTTGCGTACATACCCGCAGATACTATCAGTCATCTCTCCGGGCATCCTCTACTTGTCGGCTCTGGGATGCCTCGTGTGGGTCGGGTCCCAGAGCAAATCGCCTTAAACCCTAAGCGGACATATGCGGAGACTTGGTCGCTGTGTGCGAGAGTGAGAGTCGAAAACCCTAAACCCCTGATCCCTAAACCCCTAAACCTTAAACCCTAAACCCCTGATCCCTAAACCCTAAACATCCCTAAACCCTAAACCCCTGATCCAACAACCCCAAACTCCCAACCCCCCCCCTCGCCCCAAACGTGCCCCAAGGTACTTGGCACTGACATCCTTCAAGGGCGACTCCAACCTCCTCTTTGTCCCAGCGCCGGCGGTGGTGGTGGGATTAAAGTTTCAGGCGCCTTGGGGGCTACAAAGTATTAGGGTTTAGGGTTTTTTTTTTCAGCGGGCGAAATTGTGCGTGTCGCGCAAGCAGAATTCGCATGCAATGACGGAAAAGGCGCACTTACCGGCGCAGCCAGAGCTGCAAACAAAAGTGGAAAATTGGTAGCGGAGCACTAGCCGGGATTTAAAGTTGCCCACCAAGGTTGGGGCCCATAAGTCTTGGTGGCAGGTCGCCAGCAGTGTGCACCTGTCGCGGAGGGGGCTGGCGTGACATTCCAGTCGGCCTCCATGTAGACATGTCGGCAAGCAGAGCTGCGGCGGAGGTGCTCCGCAAGCCGCAGCTGCGTCCAGTGCTCGACACGGCAACGTTCGCAGACGGTGCCAACGGCGAGCGTAGTGTGGCAAGCGCGCAAACCGTGGCGGCGGGCCCTGTGCACCGCAAGTCTGCGTTTGCTGATGAATCCAGCACCACATTCCTCGCAAAGCCATTGCAGCGTCGTGCCTTGTGTATGAACAATGTCCGCAGCGCTGCAAGGCTGCCTGGGGCCCAATGATCCCCGAGCCGGGATCCGTTTCCGCACGCCGGCCTTGAGGTATCGCTTGCAGAGAGCGCGCAAAACACGGACGTCAGTGCACAACCCGTGAAGCGCCGTCTCGGCAGCTGGAGCACTGGCGGGTAGAAGTCCAATCGCCTGTGCCGCACCGGTAGCGTCTGCCCACCATACATCATCCTGGCGTAGCTCCTCAAGGACATGTTGAAGCCCAGCAATATGCAGCCGGACTAAGACACGGGCCTGCTCAACGCCGAGGAGCTCTGAGGGAAGAGGAAGCCGCAGCGCCCCAGCTATCTCTTCATTGGTATATCCTTGAGCCGAGAAACCGAATGTGGGTCTGAAGGCACCCCGGTACAAGGAGAAAACAGTTTCCTCGACGGCATGCCGTTCTCTGGCAGTGCGAAGCGACCAGAG